ACAGAAACTTAATACTCATAACTAACTTTCCGACGTTTAGCATATAAATCGCTTAATAATCGGTCGAATACGCGCTGTTAATGTTTTAACAAATATTTTAGCATGGTATTTCCAAAGATGTTATGTCGGACCGACCATTTAGAAAAAGAACGTAAAATTGTTCTGTCAGCGATAGATTTCTTTCCCGTCAAGGCGCAGAAACTAAACTTGTTACTGTCACCTCTATTTCTGTCACAAGATAACTCTACACGGTTAACTCTCATAACTTAGTCTGCAATCTTATTTAATAATTATGCGTTGATATCATAGATGTATCATAGTGTATTATACTGCTTTAAAGTAAAAACATATGTAATAATCATAAAGGTGACATTTAAGAATGGCGAAAAACGTATTGAATAAAATTATGATTCATTATTAATAAATAATATCTCAGTCATGTGTATATTATGGCTGACTGATTAAATGCGACACATGATCTTGATATGGTAGACATTTATGCCCAGTTGCTTTTTTAATCCTTCAATGCATAACAACGTAACAGTTTTGAAACTAATGTGTACTTCCAAACTCTTCTTGTGAGATGGAAATCGAACTACAAGAGAGACCGTCACTTACACCGTCTTGATGTGATAAATAGTGTGCCAAGTTACTTAAACATTCTTTAATACATGACAAAATAGAAAAAAGAATCACAGTCACAGTCCGGAAACGAATGTGTATCTTCAAACTCTTCTTTATAAAATGAGTACCTTCAAACTGTAAGAGTGACCTCGGAGGTAGGGACAGACGGTGCGATTTAAATAGGGCATATAACAGGACAAACGGATTATTAACGCTGAGCTACCGTTTCATACATAAATAATGCTTAACTCTAAGATAATTAACTACACTTCTTCTGTGAAGCGTATATTCAATTTGTCACTATAATGCAAGTCATTGAAACATTGTAAATGCTAATAAGAGAAAGTATGGGTTTTATTTAGAGAGATTTAATCCTATCACTCAAAGTGACGTTAATATAGCTTTATCGATTTTCTCATAGCCTACGTATTCATTTATGACTCCGAAAAAACAACTGATTGTAAAATTGTTTTTATAGTATATTTTTCAATTCCAATACAATTACCCCGCTAACAAATTGAAAGGCTACACAACGTTGATGATTCTAAGCTGCAACATCTCTTTTTTTTTGTACACCGTTGAATGTCTGGTGCCAATTGCTAGCTGTTAAATTCTACATCAAATAAATTATTGATTTTGTTAATTCTTACATCTTAAATAAATTTGCGATTTCTATTTTTGACCATAAACAGTATCAAATCATGAATGTCAATACAATAACATTTGTTTTCTTTATATGGTGGCTGATTTGTGCCATGTCGTATAAGCATGTTTAAGGGGCGGAAATGGGAAATGGGAAAGGACAAATAATAATATCTGTTGCGGTTTCGAATAGGAATATCCGTCCCAAGGGGCCCGGCCATGGTTCCCAAGGAACGGATATTCCGATATGAACGGCAAGCATATATAATATATTTGTTCTTGCATATTCTACCATTTTCCATCATTTCTTAAATTTTTACCTTAATTAAACAAGTTTCATATTTCAACTATTTTCTTACAACAGCTTATGAAAACACATCTTATGAAAATACATATTCCCGCAAAAACGTTACAAAGTTATTGATGTGTTTTCGCGTATCGGCATTTTACCTCGCCAGAAAAATATACAACAATTTTAGGAACGCGTACTGCAGATAGAATGTGGCGTTCTATCATGTGGTTGAACGAAAGGTCGATAGGCGAAAACACGCCAGAACATATTATGGAAAATTGCAATTGTGACGTGTTTTCGCCTATCGACATTTCGTTTAACCACATTAAAGTACGTCACATCCTTTCTGTCGTATGTGTATCTAAAAATGGTTGTATATTTGTATAGCGGGGCAAAATGCCGACACGAGAAAACACGTCAAATTATAACTACATCGCGTTTTCGCTCGGAGACCTTACACTCCGGCATATAAGAATCATTTTGCAAAATATATCGGTAATGTTTATGCATATGAATGAAGTTGTAATTTCATACGCTGTCGTAAGAAAGTAGTTATAGGTGTAATGACATCAATTTCCATGAAAAATTGTTTTATACAAGTAAATAATTTAAAATATGTTGGAATATGGTAGAATATGCAAGAAAAAAATATTTGATATATGCTTGCGGTTCGGATCGGAATATCGGATCGAGACCGCCCCCATGAGCGGGGCCTTTCGGGACGGATATACTGATTCGAATCACGACATATGACAGATATTATTATTCGTGTTTCCCCATTTTCGCCCCGATAACATGCTTAAACGACATGGCACAAATCAGCCACCATATGTATATAAAGAAAACAAATGTTATTGTATTGCCATTCAGGATTTGATTCTGTTAATAGTTAAAAATAGAAATTGGAAATTTACTTAATGTGTAAGAATATACAAAATCAACAGTTTATTGGATGTTGAATTTAACTGCAAGCACTTGGCAATAGACATTCAACAGTGCACAAAACAATGATGTTGCAGCTTAGAATCATCAACGTGGTGTAGCTTTTAAATTTGTTGGCGGAGTAATTGTATTTTAATTGAAATATATGCTATTAAGAACAATGTCACAATAAGTTCAATAAGAATAATAAATTAATACGTAGGCTACGAGAAGATCGATAAACTTATATGAACGTCACTTTGAGTGTGGTGTAGCTTTTCAGTTTGTTAGCGGAGTAATTGTTTTGGAATCGAAAAACATATAATGCTACAATAAATTTTTCGGAATCATAAATTATTAATTTACTTTTGAGTTTTCTATATTATGCACGTTTTCACTTCAAATGTAAGGCAGATATGAAGTTAAGCCAGAATGGGCGGGCATCTGTGGACCCCCATGTTATGTATATTGTTATTCTGCTGTACATTGACTTAATATGTTTTAATCCTCAGACACAGGAACAATTATTCAGTATGGGAATAAAGGCAGATGTTTATACAATATATCACACTGTTGTTGCCTTAATATTTATATGTATTGATTTTACTTTATGTTGAATTGATTAGTTTTGTTTGGCTGTCATCTGATCATTTGTTTATAGCTGTCCTTTAGTTTAGACCCCTTGTGACCGCCATAGACATGTTACGCTTATAGCTGTTTCAACAAAAATTTGTATGTTGCTTTGAAATATAACTCAATTTATTTTGACAATAAAATGCAATAAAAAATGATCTATTAAAATAGACAAAAAGAATGTTCTAAAGAGCTCAATCAAATAATAGATATGTATACATGTATGCTTAAGCCTTATGTTCAATTATAATTTTGAGATTTTCCCTTTATTGGAGAGGTCATCTGACCTCTCCATATTGTTGAGTTTGATTGCTGGTGGCATCCATTTTTGCGTATCAATTTGAGTTAAATGAATCTTATTTACAGCCTAAAAACATTGTTATGCGCATGTCCCGATTCAAAATACGACTTTACTTAAACGTAAAATTAACATCGTTTATTTTTTGTGAACAGCGAATTCGATGAAAAGTGACAGTAAACATTTATAATAGCTACAATACTTTGCAATTTGAAAAGGAATATTGTTTTAAGGATGGTATATTTGGCCAATATTTCTTTACTCATTTCGTTCTAAAACAATTGGGTAATTAACAGTCCAGGTCATTGGCACAGCTCAGTTATTTTTAGATATGATCAGCCAGTGAAAGTCGCGTACAGTCAGTTTCCGAGTGAACTATTTTTAGGTCTTCATCATCTCAAAAACATATCAGATTTTATGAATGAAATTCCTTACTGAATTGGCTATATAGAGGTTGCTATATAAAAGGGATTCTCCCAGTTTATTTTTCTGCCGTTAACAAGTTTAAAGAATAGTAACATGGTTAATCAAATGTGAAAGTATCAATCTTGTCAGCATAAATAATACAAATATATTTACTTTTTGCAAGGTAATGTTGCACTAAGTTGCACTGTTGTTTTTTAATTCAAAATTGAAATCTGACCTTTTGAATGACTTCTTTAGGGACGAATGACTACACAAGAAGTTCATCGTTGATTGGGTTTATAAGTGGAGCTAGAATACTAAAAAACAAAGCATTTATAAGTTTTTAACAATTCATGTTTGCATTGTGTACATTATTACTAGTATTATCTGTATACAGTTGCCATGTATATTTATGTATTTGTGTACTAATGTTTGTATTGCACAACAGGCTGTATACATGAACCACTTGCGCACCATTTGAACATTGTTAAGAAATGTCAGCACGCGCAGTATTCAGGTCGCACAAGGAGTCGTTCAGACTGATTTCCCATTTCCGCAAGTGGGTCGCGCGCCAGTCTACTTTTGCAAATAACGCAAAAAAGGGTATATAAGCGGATATTTTTGTTTGGGTTCTTTGAGTTGAGTTCAGTTGTAGTAGTTTAAGTGTGTAATTTGCGTTTAGAATGTTGCTACTATTATAAATATGATGCATACTTTTATTTTAATTGATTTTATTATCATGCTTTCACTTGGAATTAATCTACAAGCATAGAGTTCTAAATGAAAGAAATTCCTACCATTTGAACAATGAAATAAATCTACAACAGTTGTAAAAAGACCTCTTGCATGCTTTTTTTAAAGAAGCAAACTTGTAAGTATAGAGTATCAGTTACAGTCATCTCATGCATCACCAATATAGATCTTGACATTGGATTAAAAACTATGTGTGTGTATTTATTAAATTTTATTTATTTTTGAATTAGTTTTAAAACGGTAAGATTGTATGAAGCTGTGTCGAATGCAAGTTACAAATTAGCGCTTATTACTAATAATTTATAATTGCCGGAAGACATAAATAGTTATCCGCACTTGTAGATTACATGTTAAATAGGGAGAATTTCTCATCCCATACCTTAATCATGTATACATTTAATTATACACTTTAAACATTATCATTTGGAGTATAAGTATTCATGTGTTGAAAAGGTATATTTTTGGATTATTTTGGATAAAAGAATATGGTGAGTCTGTATACATACCAACTTATTTATGCAAGATGCTCTAAAGTTAGAACTTTGCTAAGACTATATGGATAAATTTACATAAGTTCAGCAGTTTTGGCTCGTTTGTTGTATTTGTTAAGCTTTCGAAACTGTTTTTGTTATCAACTAAGTGAAAGATACATGCTGCGTTGATTGTTAAAACAGCTACAGGTAAAAATAACTTGGGTCCAAAGTGGACAGTACATAAAGGGCATGTTCTATACAAGAAAGCGGTTCGTTACTTGTGGAAGTCTTGTAATACAATTTATTGTTCTAAATCTGAAAAGGGTAATGCAGTAATTGCATGGGATTAAATTTAGATACTTTTCAAATTTAAGCGACTTTTTAAAGCTATTATAAATACGGCATTTATTTGATCATTGCATTTGATCATGTTATATTTGTTTATATTGGTAAATAAGTGTGAGTTTAATGCGAAACGAAGTACCTTAAATTACGACTCTATTTTGATTTTTCTATCAGGCAGTCCTATCAACAAAGTTTTAAATGTCTTTTATTTATTTATCCATTATAAGTTTTGGTCTGAATGATGAAGCATAAATTGGTACAGGATATAGAAAAGTTTACTTTGCTTTCTAAGTAAAAATCTAATCCAGAAATATATTGATAAGATATCTGCCTAATTTTGAAAAAATATAAAATAAAATAATCTCAAAGTGATTGTTTTCTTTTTATATATCCTTGAAATAATAAGGATTGTCTTTAGGATTTCATTAAATACCGCTTTATTGTTTAAATAACATTTCTGCAACATTAAAATTTTTGGCCGCCAGCCGCTGGGCCGCCAACTTCACAAAAATTATAAAAAAAGTTCTGAAAGTGATATTTCATTATAATAAGAATGGTTTTAAGAACTTCATTAAATGCCGTTTTATTGTTTAAATAACATTTCTGCAACATTACAATTTTTGACCGCTGGGCCGCTGGGCTGCCAACTTCACGTCGCCAGACGCTGGTCCGCCAACTTCACAAAAAATGATAAAATAAAAAAAATATTCTCAAAGTGATTTTCTCTTTTCATATATCCTTTAAAGAATAAGAATTGTCTTTAGAACTTCATAAAATACCGTTTTACTGTTTACATAACATTTCTGCAAGCCGCTGGGCCAACAACTTCACAAAAATGATAAAACAAAAAAATTCTGAAAGTGATTTTTCCTTTTTATATATCCTTTAAATAATAAGAATTGTCTTCAGAACTTCATTAAATGCCGTTTTATTGTTTATATAACATTTCTGCAACATTAATAGTTTGGCAGCCAGCCGCTGGGCCAACAACTTTACAAAAATGATAACACAAAAAGATTCTGAAAGTGATTTTTTCTTTTTATATAGAATTGTCTTTAGAACTTCATTAAAAACCTTGTTTAATCGGTTTGGTAGCCACATGTTTGACACATGTGTTATATTTATAGCAACTATTCAAGCATTTGGCTTTGTAAAAGGAGATAAGATACATTTGATTGTTTGAAGAAAAACATTTTATCAGATAAATATCTAAAAGACATTGAAAGTTATTTTTATCTGCGAAGTAAAGTCTTTTTTATATATGAAGACAGGGTATTGTTAAAAAATAATTAATTGACGTATCTAACGTATGTAAAAAGTTTTGCAAAAAGACATGTCAAGATATTAGTCCATTTCCATACGTTTTTGTAAATTATTATTGCATTATTTTTAAGTATTGACGTCTATGTTAACTTAGCAAACAATCATTTATTCAAGTTTGCATTATACAAAGGTCACTGGAATACTAGAAACATTATGTTTGTATCTAGTTCAAGACTATCACCCACAAAAACAAACTTACAAACATATATCAAAACAATTAGATCGATTTAAGGTATTAGATTTAAAATTAACATTTTTTCAAAAGGCATTGACAACTTTATATAAATAAACTGTACCATCATCTACGCAATTCACAGTAGCAATTCTGCATAAAACTTCACGTTTTTCTTAATTTCAGATTTCATATAGAAAAATAAGATAAAAATCAAAATTTTGACAAATAAAAAGAAGACAAAAGACAAACATTGTAGAAAAAAATGCCTTGTCTGGTGTTTGAACCCACGTCCTATGGAAACTTTTTGTCATCTTGAAAATGAATACTCTTCAGAAAGGGCGATTTTAATACCTTTAAGTGTTTATTTAAATCTGTATGATAATAGGTAAAAGCTCTTAAAGGATTTCAATATGTCGGTAATATGTCGATTTGAAACGATTTTTTCCTGCTTTTTGATTAATGAGCTTTTTCTTTATCCCGTCCTCGGTTAGATTCACAAACTGATAAAGTTTATTGAATCCCCTTTTGATTAAATTAATTTTTACTTAGAGTTTGGCACTTCTCCCCTTTAACAGCAGAGTGTTATGTTGAACGTGCCCAATAAATATCTCATAGTCACGTTATTCCCTGTGTGTTCTCCAAAGTCAATCTGATCGACACATCACTCGCTTCAGGGACATGAACATATACATACATGTAATATTGAAGGTAGTCTGTGCTTCATGAAAGTCTATGTCAGTTTTTTGTACACTTTTGAACAGAAAAAAGTAACGTTTACTCACAGCTATTTTTTTCTCATTTTAGAAATAGGTTAATCACATTAAATTGTGACATTTTAGAGGTATGTCTATCCAAATACAAAAACATAAATATGGTAATAAAAGTGATGACGTCACAATAAAGTTAAAAATAACTTAAATATATAAGGCCAATTACCACGAAGAAAAAGCAACGGCCGCTGTGGTGTAGTGGTTAGCATACTGGACCGGCAATCCAGAGACCCGTGGTTCGAGTCAGACCTGGGGATGATTACATTGATCAGTAATTGATTTAATTACAATTACTTTAAGATTTTATTGTAATTGATTACAATTGATTACTCAGACTTACCTCTGTAATCAATGAAATTACAATTACTTTTAGAAAGTAATTGATTGATAATTGATTACATTCCATGTATAACTATAAAAAAAAGTTTCTTAATGCTATTTAATATACAAGTATACATTATATATAGGATATAGGATTTCCAGCTCATCAACAGTCATCAATTTAACACACTTTTAGTTACAGTCACATCACTTTATCATATTTTAGCATTGCACTTTAGCATCATAAGTTCATGAAACCGTCTGTCAGTCAGACTGCATCTATCAGGACGGAAAATTTTACCCACAACACTAAACAAACGCTCTACAAGGGCCAATGATGCAGGAATGGTCCTCAGTCTTCTATGTGTAGGTTTCATAATGAACTCTCTGCAACAGAAATTTTGAAAAGTGTCAATTGTACAGTATGCTGTATACAGGTGTTAAAACAGGTGTGAAAACAATAATTTTTTATATGGGAATTCAAAGAGACAATAGACTTTACAAAGAAATTATCATTTTTTTACAAACACTTCAACAGTATCCATTATAATATAGACACATTGTCTATCACCATACAAAATAACTGTTGCATATAATTAAAATATGGTAATATACATCTGACATAAACTCTAGAATATACAAAGTAAAGAAGTAATCTACAGTGTTTGAAACTTTTTAAAACATGGTTTAACCAAAATATGTGAAACAAAATTTAACATAACTTTATGTGGGTAATGAAATTTGAATGTGACTTAGTGTCTCCATTTATCTTCTTAGGGGGCACAATTTGCACTGTGCTGTCACATTTCCAGATGTTTCTTTAGGAAATTCAAAGACATCATAAATCCAATGATTTGACATTTTGGTTAGAATACCAGCCAAACAATGATGTCTATCTTTCAGTTAGAATTTGGTTAACTGTATGGATGAAAACTTATTTCTTCATTGTGAGTGATGTCTTAAAATGTCTCACTTGATATTTTACTACCTTAGTTAAACTGTAACATGTGAAATAAATCATTTGAATTTCAATAGTTTCATGTAAAATCTGAAAGTAATCAACATCAATCAAATTGTAATCATAATTACAGACTGAATTTAAGCTGTAATTAATTAATTACAATTAATGTAATCAATTTTGAGCAAGGTAATCAATTACATGATGATTACAGTGTAATCATGTAATCAATTAAAACATCGATGATTACGATTAGTGATTACCCAGGTCTGGTTCGAGTCCCGCTGCGGCGTGCCGATTTTTTGTGGCGATTTTTCTAAATATATATATATATATATATATATATATATATATATATATATATATATATATATATATATATATATATTATATATATATATATATATATATATATATATCAGTAGGCTTTTTTCAATCAGGGCATCATTCAAAGTGATAAAGAGTTTTACTAAAAATGAACGAAATATTTAAATGCATTTTTCATTTGTTACTATAAACATAATCACACTAACTATTTGGACATTATGGCTCAGAATTGATTTTCCTCAGAAAACAAATAACAAAGGGCCACACAACTCCGAATGCATAGGTTGAATTTGATGGAACTTTTCAATATATTTGAGTCAAGTCTTACTGGTGAATACTTACCTACGGTATACTATAAAGGCCTTTGTTTGAAAAAAGTATCAATGAAAAAAAGCTGACATAAAAATGTTAAAGTGGTTATATAACTGAACAAAAAGAAGATGCCTGTCGAACCTTAACATGTATTAATTGGATGATAATTAAGAGACATAAAATAAAAGTTTGAAGGAAAAACCTATAAAAATAAAGACGCTGCATTATATTATAACAATTTTTAAGGAATGATCAAAATTTAAAGGGAAGATGATTCTGGAGATGAGGATTCTTGTCTTTAAGCATTTTTAATGTGACTGATAATAAAAAAATCATATTTACTGTGAAACCTAAATGCCTATAGAAATAAAAACATACATTAAAAGATTTGAGTGTACATAATCTTTAAACAGAACCTGAATGCACATGTCGATGAACAGCTTTCTGTCGAGAGCAAAGGACAGACCGAAAACATAACTTAAATTTGACCTACATTTTATACGTTTAAGTGTATCACGCCACGAATCATTCAATGAATGCGTGATTGTGTATAGTTTACATCCTGTTTTGAAAAAGAATGTTATCATATAAAGTACACGTAACTGTAAGGTCGATTAAAGCTATAAATACATTTCGTGGAAGAACTTGTAATAATTAATTGAAGGTTAAGCTTATAGACGGCGTAATGTTCAGAAAACCGCTACTTGAAGATTATTTTACTTCCTGCAAAATACTTTAAAGGCCCATTATGCCCCAGGAACTGTTTTATTTTCATTATCCAAAGCTTTTGATGTTTGGTTGCCTATTTTAGTTTTCAAATTCCAATACTCTGCACCATATTTAACATCTGTTCCTTTTTGGTAAACATTTATCATTATCTCATTTTGAAGCTTTTTCTTTGCGCTGAGTCAGTTTAATTGTTTTTCCATCAGTACATGACAATACAAATGTTTAAAAAACTCTTAACCCAAAACCGAATACATACATTTGTTATATATTATTAGAAAGTCGGCATTCATGACAATAACGAAATGGACTAGAATTTTCTGCACCATGACGTAAAAACGTAAGATATAATAACAGTAATAATAATAAAGAAGAAGAGGAATAAGGAGAAGGAAGAAGAAGAAAAACAATCAACATTTAAATATTCATATAATTATCGGGTTTGTTTGTGAAATTAATGCGTGAAGTTTCAACTCTGTACGTAATAAATAATGTACCTTGAGTTTGAAAAAGACGCAAACTAACAACAATGAACTTTTTTTATTCTACTACACTTTTTAATACAGAAATGTTAAACTAGGATTTAAAAAAAACGAAGTTAGCATGGAGCACTATGTTTTCCCAGTTTCTTTATGACCCGCACAAATTCCCAGTCATATCCTTAGTATTTGCCAAAGATATAGCGAAATGTAGGTTACTGTACAGGGTCAAATGAGTTCTAGAACGTACAGTAGCGTGTGACAATAATGAAAGAGACAGCCTTGATAAGAGCTGTATGTACCAAACAAAGGTCATGGCTGTCAAGCAGTCAATAGGCTCAAGCATCCTATTCTCTATATCTTCACCCTGCCTGCTATTGAGGGTCACTCCCCTCAGTCAGCTTATTTGTAGTTTGGGCATAACTTATAATAATTATAATTTATAACTCCAAGAAAAGAGATACTTCAACCATATGGTTCCCCCTCCATTATGTACAAAAGCAAACGTAGGATCTTGAGGTCCTTGATCAGCCAGTCAGTCGGTGTCCTTAGTGTTCGTTAGTGCCTCGTGCCACAATGAATTAACAAGAGCACAGTTTAGCATGTGATTTATTCCCGGGCAGGCTGTGAAACAGTTAACTAATATTTGTGCCTTTATGTTCGCAAAATACTGATATTACTTTTGTAAATGCCAGACAGAATAACAGTAGAATTGATTTCTTGATTAACTACAAAGAACATGGCATGCCCCGTCTTGATGCACAATTTATAGCTAAACGATCTACCAACTTAGCTTACCGAATAGTGACAAGATGTAATGAAACTTGTAGCAATCCTAGGCAAACATATGTGATAAGTTTGCTCTTAAGTGCCTTATTTATATTTTAACTTCATACCATATAGATATTTAAAACTTTAAAAAACGTTACCCAAAATATTGTAAAGTTTATATTTTGCAAAGTCACAATAAAAAATTCTCATATATGAATTGTTTTCATATGTAAATCTTTCGATACAAAAGCCAGTGTCTTTGCTTGAAAAACATTTTCTGCATAATGCAAAATATTATTTGAAAGAAAAATATGTATATAATTAAAAACATTCAAGGGTTAAAACTACGCTAACACGCATCAACTTTGTCTGCATTCATTATTATAAAAAATATATTTTGAACTACTCAAATATTAAGACCTTAGAGCAAACTTCGTTTTTTTTTATTTATAATCAATTCGAATTAGTTGTGCTCTATGTAAGACCTGATTGTGTGAGAGTAATATACTTTGGTTGCACAAGTATATCAAATATATTCAAGTATAAACAATCCTTCGGGAATTGTAATAGGTTAAAACGATATCCGATTTCAATACATATATATATATATATATTATATAACACATTATATATATCTACAATATTTGTACAATTTTGGTGGAAATTTCCGCTCTAGGACCCGATGTTATGGTTTGATAAGACATCCTATTTCAATATATAAAAAAATATCAATTTACAATGTTTGTACAATTACTTTGGTGAATATTTCCGCCCCGATGAAACAGTCGAAATTCATCTAACAAAGTTCTTAAAAATATGTATTATAAATAAATCAGTACAGGAAGCAAAATAACTACCAGGTCAAAATATAAACCTTTAACCAAATTATTTGAATGCAATGTTTAAAGGGTATTTCCCTCTTTGTAAACACCCATCTTACCTTTCAGGTGTGTGTTTCGTTTTTGTGAAATAAATTATTAACTTGCAAGATGTCCTTGAAGTAGCTTGATAATCACAAATATTTGATTTTTACTTTCTACAGTCTAAATAAAAGCACAACAAATATTTCAATAAAAGTCGTCCAGAATGCATCATATATTTTTAGTACGCGGTTATTGGTTATAACACAATTTTGAAACCACCTGTCGACGAATTGTCTGCAAAACATGGTCCGAGTGGGGGCATTCAGAAGGTGCGCGATGGCATATTTTCCTACCATTTGATATTCTTGCAAAACAGAATATGTCGGTGCTACTGTATATTTTCATTAAAAACTCCTGCAAGCGTAACGGTAAAAAAGACACCGGAAAGTAAAGTTCCATTTAGATTGATAAAAATGCGCCCGAATATGACAAAAGGTTATTATTTATAATCGAAAGGCAAAACGAAAACATTGCAAATTAATTTCGGAAATTGACGTTGGCCTTTGGCGGTGACCAAATGATAATCTAAACTAATAGGACCTTGTCTCACACCTTACTATTCTCTTAAGTTTACATTTTCTTATTTTGAGAAAAAATACAAATTATCTGTATGATAACAATAATTTTTGATTTACTTTTTAGTTAGTACAAATTAATTGGTAATTCGTATCAACCGTACTGAAAAAGCAGCATAAACTTTTATCCGCATCATTTTATTTTGTTTACGCACAATTTGAATTTGTGTCAAAAACAATAATTCTATGTTAAAATTATCGTAATATCTTTAATAAATAAGGTTAAACAAAAAGAACCATAATAATTCACCATTTATGATATAAAAATCGGTGAGATATAGCTGTAAACAATTGAACATTGTTAACACAATCTTGTATCAGGTTCTATTGCGAAATAAGAAAAGGTACCTTTTGAAAAAATACAGTTTGGTTATTCTTTTACGGAAAAAAACATCAATCTTTAAAGTATGTTGAAACATGCCTACTGCATATCTGCACAATCTAACCACGTAACTATGATGATCCATGTTTCCATTTAGTCTACATGGTCTACAGTTAAGTTCAATGTTTTTCTTTTTAATTATACATGACATCTCAAATTTAGGTTTGCCTTGCCTTAAATTTCGTTTCGGGTGAGGCAAAAAATGAAATATTAAACTTTAATCAATGGAATGTTTACTGATAATAATTCTACATAAATTGTGCATATCATTTTACAGGTCAGATCATAATAACGTACAGTTGTGAAATGTAATGTCTAGTCATGGCTGCTGCTCAACCCGGAACATCATCTTCGGCGCAGGCATCAGACAATCGTATCTTCCTATTCCGCCTTCAAATGCTAATTATAGATGGTGGACTTGCAGTTTTAAGAAATTATGTAGATCAGGAACTTTCAGCTCAATCCATTACTCTCAGTGGATGTCTTGCAAACGAAAAGACCACTATCAAACTTTTGAAGGGACGTGGGATAATAACACAGGTACAATATGATTTATTGTATCCAACAAGTGGCACTGTTTCAACGTTAGAGTTGGACATCACACTTATCATTTGTCTCATGAGAAACCTAAAATGTTTCAAGTTAAATAAAAAGTTTAATTGGAACATTTCACCAGGACAAAGTGATACTTCCATCGAAGCAGACATTTGTAGACTGAAGAATTACAGGAATGAAGTAAGAATTTTTATAGAATTATGTTTTTTATTATAATAATGATAAATGAGCCAATGTATAAAACAAGTTTGCTTAATATGTCTTGATATTTGTTCAGATAAAAATCACCCTCGATCGTTAAACCGCGGAAATACACAAAAGGTTCTAATGTGAGTCATTCTGTCAAGACGATTTGTTTCATTATTCAAGGGTTTAAAACGAGATAATTCAAAATTTAATAAGTATTGATAGAGATAGAAATCAATCGATTTTTTTCAGTAAAAGACACGCATGAAGCAGTAACTATTTTATATCTTCAGATTTGTCATATATCGACCACTACAGGGATACAATATAACAATTTTAGTACCAAGTGGAAAGAAATCGAACAGGTATTTTTTTTTATTTAAAACTCAATGTAAGATTTTTTCTAGACTGTGTGTCTTTTTTAACTAAAAGAGAAGCCATAATTGTTTTGCCTCAAACATAGATCCAAGTCAGCCTGCATCACTGTGCAATCTACCAATTTCATGATAGTGTTTTAGTCTGCTTCCAAAAGTTATTTTATTCCAAAAGTTGTTAATGGTTTGTTTCAAAATTGCAATTTGACAGGTCTATTCGCAAAAATCTGAAAGTGAATTGTACTGTCATGTTAAAGAAATACTATGGTCATCCTTGAGTTAAATATTTATCAGAGAAATTTATCAAAATCTATGAAATTAATTCTGACTAAATGTGTCTAATTTGAATAACAGACTGAATACACTATTCATTTACAAAAGGGGCTGTGTAGCAATTATCACTATTTTCTAATATCCGAGTTGAGCATAGAACATATCTTTAGATAGCATGAAACACTTGTCACTAAATTAAATACGTTTTCAGCCAAACACTGTAAAGGTAGTATCATTGATTTAATGAGATATGTATATCCAATGTTGAATGACGATAAAAAATTTATCAAATTCATTTTATCACTTATTTTATAACTGTTATTTAATATATCAGGTTTTTTGTTCATCTTAAGCATTTTCCAGTGTTTGAATACTTTTGACACAATCAGTATAACAAATAAAATAGTAAAAGTAGACAATTCATTCATATCATAAAGTAATTTTCTTATTCTACCTATATCATCAAGTCAGAACTCCAAATAACAAATACCAGTATATTGTACTTTTCTTGTGATGAAAACATTAATCATATGAAATGCATATATTTCCTTCTTGACGAACGTATGAAGCAAACTATAATTAACATAATTACCACGCATGTGCCATTTGCAGATTCTTCTTAGAATTGATAAGGTGTATCCAATCAAAGACTTTAAACAGACAATAACTGACTTTGAATACAGCCCTCTTGATCCAAAAACAGAACAGAGGGTAACAGATGAAATTGAAAAATGGGAAAAACACGATAAAGCAGTAGAAGCTGTCATAGAGTTTCTAAAAGCTGGTCATAATAAGACAACTGAAGACTTAAATACTGTTAAAACTAAAATAGATGAAATAGAAGAACGATTGCCAGCACCACACAAGTCTTCAAATATGCAAGGTAAACATCCTTTTAGTTTGTTGATACAAAGATTGGATAAGGCAGTAATAGTTGATTTAGAGATTTTGAAAGAAGACAATACAGTTATAAAAAAGACTATAGAATACCTAAATACTAAAGGTATGCATATCCATATTTTGTTGATACAAGGAGTTATTATAATTTTGGATATTAATGGCCTTGCTTACTCGGGTGTTTTGCTTCTGACAATCAAAGGATGACCTTAATTGAAAACTTAATTTGGTAGATTTCATTTGCACAAAGTTGTTGAAAATGGTAATAACATAGGTGTGAACTTATAATACGTGCTAAATTGACATGTCTGAGTAATTCTGGTTTCTAAAAACAGATCAAATAAGAATTTAAACCTTTTGAATAACTTGCAAAATTTAGATTTTATATCATGTTTCTTTGGATGAAAGTATTTTATGAACTTGTCGCATATGCTAAAATATTTATATATCAACAAACATTCCAATTCTTACAATGTATATGAACCAGTCAATACGAGTTTTTTTTTCAGCGCAAATAAACAAAAGAAACAGTTTGTGGTTGGTTTGATTCGTAGTTAAAAAAGCAATTTTATTTTATAATTGTAAATGTATTGGTACAAATATTATGATTAACCGATGTGTTTAAATATGGAGTGATTAAAACGTAAATATGACCAGAGTAGAATTTATGAAACCATGTCTTGCATGTATGATTGTTCATGTAGATTTAAATTTTATACGTATTTTTTAAGATTTGTGATATAATCTTCAAATTTAAGACTTAGTATTCAATACATACTTTTTCAAATGGTTTAAATTTGCGTCTTAGACCAACTTAATTTTGCAAGCATCATTTATCTTTTAATTCGCAACATAAGTTTTATATGAATCTCTTAACATAAGGTTTTGATCCACACTACACCAGGAGGGTTCAAACATAATTCATTGCTGTAATAACCACTTCAATATTATAATTCTTATAACAGAAAGCAATGGTCTATAAATTAAACAATAATCAATTATGTATATGTACAAATCGAGTTATGATCTTAGCTTTATATTTTCATCATCAAAATCGACATTTACATATGTTAATATCTCGAGATATATAACAGCATTTTACAATTCTTAAAAACAAATATTAAAAATAATTTTCTTGTGTAAACTTTTTTTTCAGATGAAAGAAGGCAGGAAAACAGAAGGAAGGGGAATCTTTTTCTGAGGTTTTTTGAGAGGAGACGTTATCGCCATAAGAAAAAAAGTAAGATTGTATTTAAATATATATCAGACAAGTCAAACTGATGATTCTCCAAGCAATCGGATCATCTCGGCTACTATTCATAATATGTTCTACCACTTGGTTTTACATGTTCCTTAAACCAGAGGGTGTAATCTTTGTACAGATTCAATGCAATTTCATGAAGTTTGTTTGTGTTTTATGCTTTTAGGGGGCCAAACTTTAACCAAATTATGATAATGTGTAGCGAATGTTTACATGTACATTTGACGTGAAAAGAAAATGTCTTTATCGGTAAATTATGATAGGCCGATAATCATAATCAATTTAACACACCAACTGATGTACACATATACATAAATCCGTTAAATAATGTCAACAGGTCAATATTTTGAACTTTCCATTTCAACAACCGTAATATTTAGTGTATAATTAATTTTCTATGTACTTTTATATCTATACATTTATCTTATTTAGGCTAACTTCTTAATGTAACGAGCTTAACATAACCAATTACTCCCAACATTCATTTAATATTTGTTTAAATGTTAAGTTTATGAGAGTTAGTTCCGCTGTAATTCCGTATTCGTACTAATTGTATTCGACGTAATTACCGAAAAGGTCCGAGAATATTGTACTGCAAGACTGTACTGCAAGCGGAGAATTTGAACAGTTTCTCTAAATTACCACATCATTATCAATTATTTATAATGGTATAAGTCGCAATGATTTGACCTCAAAAATATTGTATCTAGTTATGAATACAATAGTTTACTTCTGTATTTAAAAATTATTATAAAATAAAAGATTGTATTTGTACAATTCAGTAAATCTTAAATATGAACGCATGCACTGAACTTTCGTGAGTTTTCGTCTGTTTTGTGCCTTTTTGAAGTTCCGGTTTTCCATGGAGATTCTGTCATATGACCATTACATTTTCAAATGTTTGTTTGTCTAAATCACTACCAGAAGATTATTTCCCATTGTGTATCCCTGCAAATACTACAAGGATGTTTGGAAAGTCTGTGATAAATTTCGAAAAATCTTAGTTTATAAACTTTTAATCTAACATTTGCACAGGCTGGTAGTGCAGTGCATGCAAGCGAGGCAGGTAACTTATATGCAAGATTTCTTATCATTGGATTCAAATCCAGTTATTTCACCGTTAATTCAAAACATATAACCGAAATGTCTTGCCGCAAAACATTTCGTCCTAAAGGGACATCGAAAATGAGTAAATCGCACGAACAGCTGGAGTGTTTAAAGATTCCTTTAATAGCGTCAACAGATGATGTTCAATTTTGAGCAGCCTGAAAAATGATGTGCTTTACCAAGATATGCAATAGTTAAAAAAAAAACTCAGTAAAATTAAGGGTTTTATTCGAATATAAATGCTATGTTATGCACTTGTGATTCTTGCCTATACACAAAACAGCCAATATTTTACCTAAGTGTAGTTTTGGAACGTTTACACAGTTAAATGTCTCAGCTTTCTCATGAACTGTTCTTGTACTTTAAAATGGAATAAATACAGGAACTTTTCATGAGCAGTAGTTCCTTAACTATTTGCATTCTTTGTGAATATAAAATATCACATTGAATTTATTCTTTAGAAACTTCTTTAAAACTTCTTGTTACGGAATCATTTTATGAACAATTCCACAGTCAGTAACTCAAACAAGCACTTCAAGAACATTTAATTGATTTTCTTTTATCAGAAATTAATGCAAAGTTCTAGTTTTAGTACTTTAAAACTATTTTGGAGCCTGGGACAATTAAACATTAAATTATTTCCAAACTTTTAAGAATTTGTGTCATTTTTTCTTTATACATATCCTGTAAACTATCCATGAATTCAGTTCTTGAACGGAAATGTATTTATCATGACATGTTTCATGACTGTTTATCATACAGAGACATTTTAACAGAATGAGAAAAGTACAGTCTTACACTAGCCCTAACTCTACTTACATAGTTATTTGCTTTAAGAAATAATTTTTCTTCAGTGTTTGTATGCAGCACTGTCATAAAAATGTAGAGTGCTTGTTCTGAAGTATTTTAGTCCCATTTTGATTCTATATCTAATAATCAATATGTTCCTATCTGTGTTATTTCAATGTGACAATTATCTTTATCTCTTTAGTTAGAGATATTATGTACAGAATTGAATTGATTCTCTATTTCTTACATGTATTTATTTTCGCTGTCTTTAAATGGTCTTACAGAAAGTGAAGTAAGAGTTAAAAGAATTGATGAATAAATTATTATTGATTTATATATGTTTGAAATAAACATCAGAATTTTGCATTTTAAATAATATTTATTTCAGTTCTCATCTGCTGAATAACATGAAAACTTGGACATCATCTATAGTTTTATTGTTTTATTTCCTTTTAAAGACTTTGTATGTTATTAAATGACACTTGGTGTATCTAACTTTTTCATCTATTTACTTAAAAATTTAAAATGAAAATCATATTCATGTCGTTCAATCTGTACATCATCTGTCTTGTTGTGGTTTAAATTCACATTAATGGCTTAGGGAAATCAGTAATTATAATGATATTTTTTGGCTCAATGTGGTCTAGCCAGCTGTCAAAACAAGTACAAAAATAAATAATATAATTAAATATTTTACATTTTTCTATCTTATTGTGACTTATATGTTCAACGCCAGATTATTTTGACAGTAAAATGATACTAGTATCAAAAAAAGTCAGGGACTTTTTAAAGCGTCGTACGACCCGGTCCGTTGCTATCAAAAGTCGACCGGATGTTGTACGTTTTCGCGCATGAGCAATCTGCGTAGGGCAAAGGATCATCGTCCAATATAGAAATGAAGACAGGAGTTATTTGAAAGTAAAAAGTATAAGATTATAATAGATAGCTAAAAAAAAGGGCAAAATAATCCTTTTTGTGGCCAAGATTGCCATGAAAACACGGAAAAGATGTGTTTTTTAAGAATTCCCTTTTGCGACCACAAAGATCTTGAAAATCGATGAGCTAATTAATATAAAGTATGTGGAAATATTTATGTTAGCATAAAAGGGGTCGACTTAATATTTTTATATTTTTGTATTTTTAGTTTCAACTTTTCGGCATTTTCTAGTTGGGTGGTTCCAATATTCCTACTTGAATAATGTTGAATCACCCTTAGGATATGTTGCCTGCTTTTAAATTTGTCTTTTGACGTCTTATCTGTGATACGCAGGCTTCATAACCTCTGATCCCCTTTCAAAATTCCATTTTATTTAGTTCCGCCCATTGTTTTCTCGTTTAGGGCACACGCGTTTTATTACTTTGGGACCATTCGCCGCTTTTCATGGAATGGCACTACTGTGTCACATTGAAAGTTCCATGATAACCGCCGTATGAACACATCTGCGGATGTTTCTAAATTCAAAATTTTACTATTTCACGTTTAAATGTTGAATTCTGCTTAAGCCGGTGCTCGGGGGCGTGGACGGTAACTTGCATTATCCAGTCCCGTCCATGAACAGGCTCAATGAAACCGAGCCTGCAACATTTTCAATTTTTCCGTGTTGGGCTTTCTTTAGGGATTCTGTATTTATCTATTTTATGATTACATCCGTGTTATTTGTGCCGTGTGGCGGCTGTAAAAAGTCTCCCCGTACATTTAATCAATGATGTTATATTTTCGATCCTTGAGGATCATTCAGCACGACATTATTGTTGTGCTTGTGGTATTTTTAGTTTCAACTTTTCGGCATTTTCTAGTTGGGTGGTTCCAATATTCCTACTTGAATAATGTTGAATCACCCTTAGGATATGTTGCCTGCTTTTAAAATTTGTCTTTTGACGTCTTATCTGTGATACGCAGGCTTCATAACCTCTGATCCCCTTTCAAAATTCGATTTTATTTAGTTCCGCCCATTGTTTTCTTGTTTAGGGCACACGCTTTTTATTACTTGGGGACCATACGCCGCTTTTCATGGAATGGCACTACTGTGTCACATTGAAGGTTCCATGATAACCGCCGTATGAACACATCTGTGGATGTTTCTCAATTCAAAATTTTACTATTTCACGTTTAAATGTTGAATTCTGCTTAAGCCGGTGCTAGGGGGCGAGGACGGTAGCTTGCATTTTCCAGTACCGTCCATGAACAGGCTCAATCAAACCGAGCCTGCAACATTTTTAATTTTGCCGTGTTGGGCTTTCTTTAGGGATTCTGTATTTATCTATTTTAATAGTTTTTGAAATACCATGTAGTGCATAAAATAACTAAAGATATTTATATTACATACGAAATCAAAGTTAATTATCATTTTGGAAAGGTTACAAAATGCGATAATGCATGTTCATGTACTTGTCTTTAATTACAGTTTAACTTATTTTGTCTTTTATCTGGTTTAACTGTGATGCTAAACAGAACATTTTTAAAGGCACATGAATGTGTCAAGTAAATTAACACAATCTAAAAACGTTAAAAATATTTCTCAGATGGGTAACGAAATAACACATATCTATCGTAGCACATTTTCTAAATTAGATATATGCACACCACACTATATTTTCCATGTAACAAAATTAATTAGAACAGACACATTATATAGGAAAATCATAGATTACAAAAGATGAAAATCTGCAATAACATGCATGTTAATATACAAAGGAAAACATGGAAATGGTCAATTAGTCGTTCAGAAAAAACCCCACATTATAATCAATTTGAACAGTTTGCTTAATTGGGTATTGTTTTGACTGTTTTATTTTAGATATTTATTCTAATTTAAGTAAAATAAAGAATGCTAACTTAAGATGATATTGGATACACACAATTTCCATGAAATATGTGTAACGCAAGCGGTGTATTCATAATTGCATCATACAAAGATTTAATAATGGTAAGCGTAGTTTTTTTGTGATCGACCCAATGTTATAACTATACTTTCAACCTTATTCCAAACCGAATCTCGGCTGAACATACATGCACGTTGTAAAATAGTTCCGTATGTTCGGTAACAAGTAAGAAAATCCGTACCTACATTCATTATAGGAGG